CAGAAGACATTTTTTATTTACATTTTAAATCTGACGTCACATAATATTTATTCTATGGTTTTTTTTATTTAAAATAAATAAATAAAACGAATTTTTAAACTGTTTCCGGTTAATCGATTAATATTAAAAAAAAAAAACAAAAAATTATTATTAATAAACTCGTGATAAATAAATGTAAAAAAAAAAAAAAAACAATAACCGTCGACGTTTCGTCCGAAATTGAAAAAAAAAGATGGCCGACAAGTAAAAGCAGAAGACATTGTTTATTTACATTTTAAATCTGACGTCACATAATATTTATTCTATGGTTTTTTAATTTAAAATAAATAAATAAAACGAATTTTTAAACTGTTTCCGGTTAATCGATTAATATTAAAAAAAAAAACGAAAAATTATTATTAATAAACTCGTGATAAATAAATGTAAAAAAAAAAAAAAAACAATAACCGTCGACGTTTCGTCCGAAATTGAAAAAAAAAGATGGCCGACAAGTAAAAGCAGAAGACATTTTTTATTTACATTTTAAATCTGACGTCACATAATATTTATTCTATGGTTTTTTAATTTAAAATAAATAAATAAAACGAATTTTTAAACTGTTTCCGGTTAATCGATTAATATAAAAAAAAAAACAAAAAATTATTATTAATAAACTTGTTATAAATAAATGTAAATTTAAAAATAAAAAAAACGACAACCGTCCACGTTTCGTCCGAATTGAAAAAAAAAGATGGCCGACAAGTAAAAGCAGAAGACATTTTTTATTTACATTTTAAATCTGACGTCACATAATATTTATTTTATGGTTTGGGTTTTTGCGACAATTTCAAAAAAAAAAAATGAGAAAACAATTTTTTTTTTTTATTATGTTGGCAATAACTTTTATTTGTTTTTTTTTTTTACGCCGAGTTAAAAATGTCAGAATTGCAAATTTCACACGTAAATCAGAAATTTTTTTTTTTATTTTTATTTAAAAGGAATTAAATAAAAATAAAAATAATTTTTTTAAATTTTCTACGCGTATAAAACAAAAAATTATAACAAAAACGTTTGTGCGTTTTTTTACACGTATAAAAAAAATTCTTTTTATAATAATTAATATTAATCGGATATTAAAGAAGATGATTTTTCTCATTACTTATACATTTGTTAATTATAATAAATTACATTAAATCGTTTGTTTGTATGTTTTTATTTAAAAAAATAATTTTCAGACGCCATTTTACGGAGGTAAATAAATAATTATAATTGGTAAAAGTTCATCAATGTAAAGAGCATTTCAAAGTTCAAAGTAAAAAAATTAATCGGAAAATAAAAAATTTTCTTCTTGATGAAAGATAATGTGTCAAACAATTTTTTTTTTTTTGCAAAATTATGTTTTAATAAGTTTTAAAAATGAGGTCATTCAAGGTACAACAACATTTAGGTTGATGCCTTAGGGATTTAAACTTATAACCCCTCTCTCTCTCTCTATCTTTCTCTTCCCGCCAAATAAGGTTGATCAACAATGACCAATTTGCCATAAACACACACACACACAACAAAAAAAATAAATAAAAACTGGTTTTTCTACAAAAAAAAAAAAAAAAAAAAAAAAAAAATCTTCCATTTTACATGATGATTTTCTTCTACAGAGATTGTATAATCTCCATCGTTTAAGGAAATTTAACTTAATACAATCAAAACTTATACATTATTATTATTATTATTATTATTATTATTATTATTTAAAACTAGGAAACAAAAAGAAAGAAAAAGAAATGCACAATCGTAAATATTCCCACGTGCAAGCGAAAAACCGATTATAATAATAATAATAATAATAATAATAATAATGAGGCATTTTTAATTGTAATCTAAATTCGTATAATAAAAAAAAATAAATAAAAAATATATACGAGCCTGGAAATAAATTTTTTTCCAATGAATTCGTAGAAAAACAAAAAATTATTACGTAATTAATATGTAATTTATAACAATGTAACTTAATTTCGTGATATTTTCGATGTAAAAAAATGAAAAACAAAAACGAAAACGAAAACGAATTCGTTTGTTTATTTATTTTGGCGCGAAAACTTACAAATTTGCGACACGGCAAACATCAAAACTTCCTTTGTTATTATGACGTCACGCGCATCAAATTCAATTCATGGCGGTTAAATCGTTGTTGTTGTTAAAAATTGACAATCGAAATTGTTATAAAAAAATGACATTTTTTTCTTTTTTTTGTTAATTCGTTTTAACAAAATTGTTAAATTGTCGTTAAAAAAAATCTAGTAATAAAAGTTGTGTGCAAATCAACTTTTTAAAAAAAGAAAAAGTTATAAATTAAATTATGTGAAAAATTTTCCAATATGCAAACGCGTATAACATATTCTTTTTTTTTTATTTTAAAATTTATAATTAATGATTCACGTTACCAAAATAAAGCTGTTTAAATATTACGACAGGATGCCAAAAAGAAAATAAAACATGATTTTAATTTAAATATATATGTAAAAAAAAAAAAAACTTTTTTAAAGTGCTTTACTAAGAGAAAACCAGTGCGGAAAACCAGAAATTAATGGGACTAGTTTTATGGGGAAACACAAAAAAATTTATTTTTATTGGGACATCATATCGAAACTTCTTTCTCTTTCTCCTTACATTATATTATTATTATTACAAAATCCATTTGAAATATATTCGAATAAACATTTCGATTAATATTAAAAAATTCACGACGTTAAAAAAACAAAACAAAATTGCAAAATCAAAACATTTTGTTATAATAATATTTATTTATTTAAGGATTAAAAAAAAAAATTATAAGTTTAACGAAGGAAATGTAAAACTAATTAAAAACACAATTATTTAATAAATGGGTCAAAAAAAATTAGAAAGTTTTTATATAAACTAACTGAAGAATAAGAAGAAGAAAGTTTTATATATTAAAATATAACCACGGTTAAAAATAAATAAATAAATATTTAATTTTATGTAAAATTTTTATTTATTATTATTATTAATAATATATTGATTATCAATAATAATAAATGTTAAATCGATTCAACTTTTTTTTTTTTTTTTTAAATTCATCATAAATGGCGTCGGATCATCATCCGGTAATTAAGTTTAAAAAAAAAAAAAATTTTTTTATTTTGCTCAAGGTATATTATTTAAAAGTGAGGGTTTTAATTAATTTCAGGTATTTAGATGGTCAACAAGTTAAAATATGGGAGTAGTAAATCACATTTTGACTTTCATTATTTTTTTGTGATTTTTAACGAAAAAAAAAAAAAAAATTTGATGAAAAAAAATATTAAAAAATCGTTACGCAAATTAAATAAAAAAAAACGTGCAAGTTATTAAATTTTAAAGAAGGTCCAGCAACAAAAAAAAAAAAAAAACCCATACCTGACTTTTAAAAACTAGGCCGAATTAAGGTATATTGAACTTGGGTCAAAGGTTTTATTTAAATATTTAAATTTGCATTAATTAAAAAAAATTTTTTTTCTAACTTGTTTTTTAAATATATTTTTTAAATTTAAATTTAAAAAAAAAATGGAAAAGTCATAAAGTCAAAAAAATGATGAAGATATATCCGGAAGAAAGAAAAATTTTCTTTTTTTTTTTTTTTTATTGAAAACTTTAGAAAAAAGTAAAAAAAATATTTTTTTTCTAATAAAAAATTTCAACTTCCGGGTTAGGTAATGGATAGTCATGACTCTTTATTGTAAAGCGCTTTATTAAGTTATTATTATTATTATTATTATTATTATGTAATTATTATTTCCTTCCAAAAATAAATTGATAACGTGTTTAGACCTTTTTATTACATTCGTGGGAATTGTTTTCTTTTTTTTTTTTCAATGAACAATTAGATAATATGTTATTGTTTTAAGTCAAAATTTTGTTAAAATCCCTTCCGAAATTTGATAAAATGTCGTCCAATCAAATCTGACTTAAAATTTTTACTTTTTATTAATTCATGGAGGTTATTAAAGTGTTAATATCTCTGACTAACTTGAATTGTAATCTTCTAAATATATAAATTATGAAAAATATCTTGTTAATTAAGTAAAGATTATTAGAACCTTTGTTAATATTAAGAAACATAAAATTGCCAAAGTTTTTTAAATATTAAAATAAATATTATAAAAAAATTAACAATAAGTATCGGAATAATTTTTCATTGAATAAAAGAAAAAAGACGAGAAGAAAATTTACACAGAATTTATATAAAAATTAAAATCGAAAATAAAAATTTCGAAAAAAGGAAATGAATAACATGAGAGAAAAGAAAATTTTGTTTTGATTTTTTTTGTTTTGGTGTTGATTAAAAAAAAAAAAATAATAATAATTCATAAAATAAGTAATTATTTGTTTATTGATGAGAAAAAAATTTCATGTTTATTCGTTATCATCATCATCTCCATCTTGTTCAGAGTTAATTTGGAAATAACGAAGTTCATATGTTTCTTTCGAACTTGAAACAACTCTAAGCCAATCTCTTAAATTATGCTTTTTCAAATATTTTTTGGTCAAATATTTAAAATATCTCTTTGAAAAAGGTATGTCACTTACAATTGTAACGCTATTTTTGTTTCTTTCAAGAGTTACATCTTTACCCAAATTATTCGTTTTACCATTTACTTTGATTCTACCTTGCAAATATTTTTCCTAGAAAAACAAAAAAAAAAATTTTTTTAAATTAATTTGATTTAAATTAAAGTATGCTCTTTTTAATATCATACTGTTTAAAATATTTGCAAAGTACTTAAGAGTGATAATAATAAATGAAAATAATACTTACAAAACTAGCAACATCCATAATGTTATCTTCTACAGGATGAGTGCAATCAACGGTGAACCTCAAGTTGATCTTCTTCTTCTTTTTAAGGCCTTTGCCTTTAATGACATTTTTGGGCTGTAAAAAAACAATGAAAATTAATCAAACATTATCAGAGCCATCCTGTAAATCTGAGCAAAATTATTACATTCTATAGTTGCAATAACTATTTTTAAACATTTTCATCGATAAAATTTATTTAAATGTGAAAGAAATACTTTTTTTTTACAAAAAAAAAGAAAAAAAGAAAAGGACAGCAATTACAAATGAAATCTTATAGGTTATGTAAAAGAAAGGTACAAACAGTAGAAGAAAAAAGTGACCTCCAATTAAATGGCGATCACAAAAACGATATTTTTAATTGTAAATGCATAATTAAATGTTAAAACTTTTACATGACGACTTTTAAATGAAATAAAAACGTCAATTATTATGTACCTGCTGCATTTTGATGATAACCACGAACACTAACTGCACTTAAGAAACCATAGGAAAAAAAAATTAAGTTGGCAATGGTAACAAAATTTTGTCATAGAGTAAATATATTTACACTTTTAAAAATCAAATAAACACTTTTCAACCATTAAAACAAATTGAATATGTAATGTTATTATTAAAAAAGATTTTTAATCACTGTTTTTTTAAATAACATTAAAATATATATAAGTTAATTTAACAAATCTTTTTTTAATAATAACATTTTTTTTATTTTAAATTTGTGTATTTCTCCTAAAATTTAATAAAATTTTCATGTTTTTTTAGAGATATCAGTTATATAAAATTATAAAAAATACCACCGGAATAAGAGTTTGTGACTAAAATTTATTTAAAATACTTTTTCACGTATTATTTAAATATTTTAATTCTTCATTCATTTAAAATTTTGCGTCATACGTAAACAAAAAATTTTTATTGACACACCTGATGCTTTATTATTTACAAATAATTATCATCGCAATAAGTACATTAAACGTTTTTATTATTATTATTATTTTATTTAGTTAAAAATCACAAACTTAGACTAAATTCAAAAATTTCAATATTAAACAAACTAATTTTTTATTATTTTTTAATTATTCTACATAAAATTTTAAATAATTTTCAAAAATAAAATAATAATAAAAAAATGGTAATTTAAAATAATTTATAGTTCAACAGTAGTTTAAAAACTAATAATAATTTATTTGTTTTAATATGATTTTTTTTACATATAAATCGCCTTAATATATTAATTAAATGATAGTCTTAACAATAAATTAAAGTTATTATTGTGAATTATTTAAACGAAATAAAAAAAAAAAAAATTATTTTTGTGTGCAATAAAGTGTGCAATTAAATAAATAATAAATTTTAGATTGTTAAATATTTTTTAAAATAAAATAATTTACTGAAAAAAAAAAATTGTTAATGTGTAAATTTTTTTAAAAATTCTCCTTCGTTTGATTCCTACATTTGATATAACAAAATTTTTTAATGTGAAACACTTTTAGTAAAACAAAAAATTAAATTAATGGAGAACGATTTGTAGAAAAAAAAAAAAAAAGGTAGCATTTACGACTAATTGTTTTGTGTTCGAAGCATTTTTTCCTTTTTTTAATATATTTATTATATATTGTCGTAATAATAACAAAATATTTAATACCTTCAAAATCACAACAACATGTTTTACTTAATTATTATAATTAAAAATTACATCAAAAAATATATTAATTAATACTAACATATATATATATATATATATAAATATATATAAATAAATCATTTAAGAGAAATAATGTGGTCGACATGTTACATTTTAATTGACTTATTGTTTAATAAAAAAATATTTTGACGTATAATATTCATATTCGATAATTAAAAATAATTGGCTTCTTTTTTTTTTTTTTTTATAATTAATTCGCAATTGACAATTTAAATTAGTTATTAAATTTAAAAATTAAATTAAATTAAAGTAATAATAATAATAATAATAATAATAATAATAATAATAATAATAAATGAGAATGATATTTATAAACTAATATAAATATTTATGCATAATGAAAACGATAACTTCTTAGTAAGCAATGAAGCCATGAAATATAATAAAAAAAAAAAAAAATTTTTTTGTTTTCCGATTTATATTTAAGATGAATGTGGAGTGACAGCTGAGACTTCGGCATGAGGTTTCGATTCTGATCATCTCAGATGAAACATGTAAACTAAAAAGTTTTGTATTAATGATAAAATTGTATATTTTGAATGTTTAAGTGACGTTGAATTTAAAAAAACTCACTTAAAAATATAATTAACAAAGAAGTGCAAACAACTCCAATTATTATCATCATTTTTAAATTTTGCCACCAAAATTTTCTTTTCAGTCTGGCTGCATGTTGCTCAAATTGGGAGGCTCCCATTTGCAAAGTATCTGGAAAAAAAAAAAAAAAAAATTATTATATAAGGGATGATTCATAAATAACAAAAGGAAAACATTTTTATGTTTTTTTTTTTTTTTTTTTTTTTTTTTTAATTTTTCATAAATAAATAAATAAAATAAAATATACGTTGGGGGGAAAGGGGGGGGGGGGGGAAAATGAAAAATCGATTAAAAACTTGCGCAGAAAACGTTGTAATCAAATATTAAGCAGAAAATTGTATTATTATTATTATTATTATTATTATTATTATTATTATTTTCTTTGTTTTTAATCAAAAACCTTTTTTTCTTTTAACAATAGCTAATGGTATTCGTTTACAATTTTATTTAATCAATTAATTAAAACATCAGGTTCAGGTTTGTTACATAAATAAAAAACATTTTTTAAATTTTAAATAAAACTAATAGATTATTTATTATAATTATTATTATAAGTAGCTTTTGATTTTTTTTATTTGAGTAGCGAAAAAAATAATAAAAATTTATTAGCAGAACACAATTTTATTTTTTTAAAAAGTTTTTATTAATTTTAGATTTTTAATTAATTTCAAATTAAAATGCAATTTTAAAACATAAAGAGTATAATTAGTTAATTAATTAATAGAAATCAAAGCTTATGTAAATAAAAGCGATGATGACAACAAAAACTTGTTTAATAAATAAGCGAGAAGAAAAATAATTTTTTTTTTTAAATTTCTTAATGTCTATAATCTAATAATTATCAAGGGAAATTGTCAATTAACTACTGACCTGCCCTTTGATCAAGCTTTGATAATTTTTCATCTCTCTCTAAGACTTTGGCCACATTTGTTCTCATAATACCAACCACCTATAATAATAAAAATAAAAAAAATGTTTAAAATAATAATAATAATTAAGAAAAAAAAAAAAAAAACTTCTCCAGGAATAATTAATTTAATTTAAAACATTTTTTTTTTTTGCTGTCGCTGTAGAGTCATTGTTGTTGATATTTTTTAATGACACACACTCACACATACATAAAACCAAAGTTCATCGAGAGAAATAAAAAATTTGAAAGAAGAGCTGGATGCCTTTTAATAATAATAATAATAATAATAATAATAATAATAATTTCTTTTTTTTTTTTCGTACATTACATTTTAAATCGTAATTATGATTCATAATTAACAGTTATGATCGAATGAGTGATATTCGTTTTTAAAAGAAAATTATTTTTCATTATCAGATATAAAATTTGATAATCATAAAAATAATTAATTATCTTTATCTTGAAGGATCTTAAAAATTTAAATTTTATTATGTTGATAACGCTTAAATAAAAATTTTCAAGTTTTCTTTTTTTTTTTTTTTTTTTTTCCTCGTAAAGAATTAAAGTGCGGTAAAGGGAAATAATTTTACAATGTTAAAATTTATAATTTTTTATAATTTTAACATTGTAAAATGTTTTTTAAATAATATTCATGTTTTATAAATGAGAAATAATTAAAATGAAAAAAAATCTAGTAATGAAGGTAAATTTCTTTTTTTTTTTAAAATAATTTTAAAAGACCAAAAACCGATTGTTACAAGGTGAGTATCACCTTACGTTAACATGACTTTTTAAAATTGTGTTCTGCCATAAATCACAAATTGTGGCAAAAATAAAAGTGCAAAATAATTTAAAATGGAGATTACATAATTTTTTTTGATATTATTTATTTCTTTTCAAATACCTGCATGTTCAGCTAATTCATTCAATTTTTGATCTCTCTCCAGGACTTTTTCAACATTTATTTTCATAATTCCAATCACCTAAAATTAGAAAAAGGATTTATCCATTCTGACTTTTTTCTTAACAGTGTCTCTTAATTATTAAAGTCATTATACATAAACAATAATAACATATACATAAATATTGTTAAAAATTATTGCAGAGTTAGCTTTTTTTTTTTTAATTAGTCATACCAAAATCACATCAAAAGTGACATATCACGATTAGACAGTTTTTAAACATGGAACCAATTATTTAAAAGTAATTGTATTTTTAAAAAACTTTAAAAATGGTTACCTCGTCGACATGAGCTTGAGTTTGTTGTAATTTTTTGTTGTTAGGTGGTCCTGAATATCCTCCCGAGTTATCCATAATTATTATTTACAAAAAAAAAAACTTCAAGGCAAAAGGAACTCCTCAATTAAAACAATACAAATTATCCACGTCTTATGCTTAGTAACCTGTTGCGCTATTTTTTTTTTTTTATATAAAACTAAATGCTTTCACTTAATAAATGAAATTAATTAATATTAAATAAAATTAAATTATCTTAAACCGATCTGTTATCAATTCTCGAAGTCCTGTTGCGGAAATGCCAAAAAAAAAAAAATCGTCACACAAATAAACTTGATTAGATCCTTTACGATCTTGATATTTTTTTAAAAAGAAAAATGGCCGACTGTGACGTAATTATTCATTGGCAACAATGACACACACACACGATTAACGGCAAATTTTTTTTTTTTTTTCTCCATAAAAATTTATGATATATTAAATAAATAATAATTTCCTCAAAATTCAGGGTCAATTGAAAAAAAATTTCCTATAAATAATAATTAAAAATTATTGCCGAAAGCATAAACGATTTAAATTTTCTGTTGAAAAAAAAAAAAACTTTTAACTATATGATACAATTAAAATAAAATTTTAAATAAAATATTTGACTGTTACAAAAAAAACAATAAGATTTATTATAAAAAGTTATTTTCATGACTTTAAAATAATTAACACTAAATAAAAACGGTAAAATTTTTTTTTTTTTAAAACATGTTAAAATTTTCAATTTAAACAAAAAAAATGTCAACTCAAACTCGGTCAACAAAAAAAAAAAAAAAAAATGTCTACTCAAACTCAACTTCCCAAAAAAAAATTAAAAAGATTTCAAATAAAAATCAGAAATTACATTACATGCAATTATTATTATTATTATTTTATATATTAATATAAAATACATGCTTTTATTAATATTTGTTAATTAAAGTTACCAAAAAAAAAACCTTGAAAACAAAAACAATTTAAAACTCTTAAATGTTTTTTTTTTTTTTTTGACTCAAATAAAACAAAAAGAAAAAATGAAATTAAAATAATTTTAATGAATTGTATTTGTTAGAAGTTACTAATCACTTAAATCATACATAATATTATTATTTTTTTTTTGTACAATAAACAATAAATGTTATTAAATAAACAAAAAAAAAAAAAAAAAAAACTAAAGTTAATAAATCATTTTAATTTTTATATAATAATAATAATTATTATTATTATTACTCTTCTAATTTGTTTTTTAATCTTCTCATTTACTTATTATTATTTTATTCTTCGATAGATTTTTATATATCTGTAAAAAGAAAAATATTTGTTAATTTTTTTTATATAAAATGATAAAATTAAATAATAATAATAATGATGATGAAAACGTGTAAATCAAAAAAAAAATCTGAAAAAAAAAAAAAAAATTAAAAAAAATTAGCTGAGGAATAGCTCGATCAGGATAAATAAAAAAAAAAATTTAATCAAATTTTAAGGTAAATTATTTGATTTTTTTTTTTTTTCTGGATATTTCCAAATTTTATTTTTTTTCTCCAAGTTTATGTTTATGTATATAAAAGTTATTACAATTAAAAACAATAAAAAAATATTTTATAAATTAAAAAGAAAATTAAAGCTCATCAAGACTATAAAATAAATGCTACATAGTAAAATTATATATATATATATATATATATATTGTTATTCCTGTATAATTTTATGGGTAAAAATTCTCACAGTTTCCCCTCCCCCCATCCCCCCCTTTTGATTATATTTAGGGGAGTAAAATTTACTGATTAAAAAAAAAAGAGAGAAAAAAAGGAAAAATTAGTTTCCCTGTCAAAAGCTTAAATGTTTTGTTTTATGTACGCGCGATAGGGTAATTACAAATTATTATTATTATTATTATTAATTTGAACTAATTAATAATTTCATTATTATTATTATTATTTTAAATTAAATTATTGTTGCTTCTGAGTTATATCCGCAGCTGATTTGTTAGCTGAATTAATAATAATAGATTTTTCTGAATCAAATCCGATATTAGTACCTGAAAAAAAATATTCAAAAATTTATTTTTATTCTTATAAGAAGTTAAAAAAACTTTTTCAACATGAAACAATTATTATTATTATTATTATTTTACATAAATTTTTTTAAATAAAAGAATATTTATTCAACTATTAAAATAAACCATTATTAATCGATTCCGAAAAAAAATAAATAATAAATAATTTTTTTTTTTTCACTTCTTCTTCTTATTCCATATTTCCAATTATTTCTATATATTTAAACAATTAACTAAAAAAAAAATTTAAATTAAGCTTCTAGGCGGATAAAATAAATAAAAGGAAGCAAAAAACAAAAAAAAAAAAAAAAAAAAAAAAAAAAAGGAAAAAGCAAAAGCTAAATGAAAACAAAATAAAAACAAAATAAAAATAATAATTTTTTTTTTTTTTAATTACTACAATATACTTAAATGATAAATTCTTAAATTTTAACAATATGAGAAATACTAATAATAATAGCTAAATTTATTAATAACTAATTTTATTGAAAGGAAAAAAAAAAAAAAAAAAAAAAAAAAAAAAAAATTGATGATGAAAAATTTTGTCGAGAGCCTCTCTCTCTCTCTCTCTCCTTTTAATATCAAACTACTCATCATTAATTAATTTAAAAGAAAATAAAAAAAAAAAAAAAAAAAAAAACCAACAAAATTTCAAGAAAAAGAAAAAACTACAGCGACAGTCTATGTATTACAAATGATATAAGAAAGGGATTTATAACCACTTTTAAAAAACAATATTGAATGTAATTTAAAATAAGAACTCGAAATTGAAAGAATTTTCAATTTTAAATTACAATTAAAATTCAATTGTAACTCGGCATAAATTTTTGTGAATCGAACAAAAGATTTTATTTTTATGTCAAGTTCTTATTTTAATTTACCTGGGAAAAATTACATATTAAAAAAAAAAAAAATAAAAAAAATGATTTGAAAATTATAAAAAAAGTATGATCTACAAACTACAATCATGTAAAAAAAAAAAAAATAATAATAAAAAGAAACTAATTAGTAAAGTTAATCCCTATTTTTTAGCCTTACTTTTAAGTTTTTCAGATAAATCATCGAATGCAGGATCGGAGATATTCAACATTAATGAATTTCCACTTAAAAAGACTTTGTTCTGTGAAGCAGCAACCTGAAATTTAAAAAAATTCATTTTTTAAATTAGTTACAATCGAAATGAAATTAAATCCCTTTTTTTTCGAGTGTAATAATAATAATAATAATAAAATTACAATTATATTAATGTTTTAATAATAAATAATCAAAAAATAGTTAAAACAAGTTTGAACATCACAATTTTGCTATAAGAATTTAAAAATTAAAAACGTTTGTACTTACAATTCTGGATATACTTTGTGCTGCTCTAATTTTACGAAGCTTTAAATATCCAGGATTTTGAGAAACAGCTTCTCCCAACATTTTCGCTGCTTCTGCTTCTCCCTCTGCTTGAACAATTTTTTGCTGTCTTTCTTGTTTGGCCCTTTCAACAACAAATGCTGCTCTCTGTGCTTCTTGTTGAGCCACCTAAAATTATTAATAATGATTGAATATATTAAAAAGTACATAGTAGAAAAAATAAAAATGAAATAAAACTAAAAATTGACTTTTTAAATTTAAAAATAAATAAATACCTGTTTTGCTTCAACTGCAGCCGTGTATTCTTTACCAAAACTGAGTTCAGTTATAGAAACATCATCCAAAATAATATTAAAGTCTCTAGCTCTTTCTGTGAGTTCTCGTCTGACTAAAAGTGAAACCTAAAATCATTTTTAAAAAATTACTTTGTTATTAAATATCTTGATAATCAAAGCTTGAATGAAAGTATTATTCTATTAAAAATAAGTAAAAAAAAACTATTAAGCAAATAAAATTAAAAATAAATCACCTGCTGTCTTTGTGTGATAAGCTGACTAGCGTTGAATTTAGCCACAACACTTTTTAAAACTTCATTACAAATTGATGGTAAAACTTTTTCATCATAATCAAGTCCTAATGTTCTGTACATTGTTGGTAAATTAATAGCATCAGGCCTTGATAAAACCCTGAGTGAAATCATAACCATTTGTAAATCTTTTGAACCAGTTGGAGATGAAATTTTTCTTGGTCTAGATCTAAAATTAGAAAAAGAAGGCATTTTTAATTATTACTATTGGTAAAACTTGATTAAAGTCGAGTAAAATTTATAATTAACAATATACCTTATGTCATAAATAATGGGGTATTCAAGCCAAGGAATTTTAAAATGTAAACCTTCTGAATAAACCTCTTTTTGTATACCACCGATACGACTAAAAATAATTGCACGATGACCACCTTCAACTGAAATAAATACGAAATTTATTATAAAAAATTAAAAACTAATTAATTACAATTAAACAATTTATCTGCATTTAAATTGATGAAATTAAAATTAAATAATGAATTAAAAATTTTGTTTAAAAAAAATAATATGCAATATCATTTGATCTAGTTTATGAAGTTACATCAGAAATTTTATACAAATTTTAAAAATAGGAAATTTTTCATTAGGCGATTTAAAAACTAATTAAATAAATAATTTACGTAAAATAAATAATACAAATTATTTAAAAATAAATAATTATTTAAAATACGGTAATAATAAATAAAATAATCTAACCTGTATATAAACTTTGGGTCATGCCGTAGCCAGCCAAACCGGCTAAACCGAGTAATTTCATACCAGTTCCAACCCCTTTGGGACTTTTCATAAATCGATTAGCAAAATCATTTAATTTACTTTGAGACATTTTTATTTTATTAAGTAAAAGTAATTCAAAAAACTCATAAACCCAAATTTTATTTTTACGTGCGAGAGCAGCAAAGCATATACTGTTCTTGACTCACCGCCTTGTAGCAGTGAAAAAGATTAGATTTATTACTCTATGAACAAATCTTATTAAGTAATACATTAATCGTGGATTTAACAAATTTTGTCCAAAAAAATTTATAATATTAATTTAAACCAAAAAATTTTAATTTCTTCTCTTTAATCAATTCAATTCTGAAAAAAATGTATGATTTATGAAAATTAAAATATAATATAAATGTAATTATAATATACAAAAAAAATTAAATTAAATTAATATTTCCTTTACTTGATATTCTATGTCATTATTTAAAAACAAATTCAAATTAATTCCATGTAAAAATGAATAAAAAAAATCATTTTTTTTTAATAAAAATTTAAAAAGACAAAAAAGAAACAAAAAAAAAAAAAAAAATTAAATCGAAACATATTTTATTTTCACACTTTTTTTTTTTTTTATAACAAAATAAGAAAACAAATAATGTTTTAGTTTAATTATATAAAAAAAACAAAAAAGCATGAGTTAAATTTTTTACATTTCTATTGTTACTCAAAATTATATTTGTAAAAAAAAAAAAAAAATACAAACAAATATTAATTAAAATAAAAATAGAATTGATGGAACCGATGAAATTATTATAATAAATAATTAAAAAAAAACAAAAAATATTGTAAATCAATCAAAATAAAAAAAAAATTTCTTGACTCCATTATTAAAAAAAAACTCAGATGAAATAAAAAAAGATGGTAACTTTATATAATAAAAAGTTTTTCTTTTTTTTTTTGCTATAAATATTTACATTAAACGACTAAAAAGGCTCCAAAATTATTTATTTAATTTAATTTAATTCAATTAATTTTTTAGCTAAAAATAAATAATAAATAATTATCCAAATATTAAATTATTCATATTGAAATCATATCAAATGTTAATTTAAAAAAAAAGCATTAACTATAAATTTATTTATATACAATTTTTTTTATTTAAATTCAAACTAATTAAAGCTTACAAAAAAAAAGTTTTTTCTTTTCCATCAATTCTACAAAAAGGCTCCAATATATATATATTTATTAATTTGAAAAAAAAAAAATTGTACCTAAAACTAATAAATAATTTTTTTTTTTGTACAAAAGATCAATCATAAATTAAGGAAGGGGCAATCAAAACTTATTAAAAAAATTTAAATTAAATTAAATTAAATTAAATATTTTAGGAATGTAAATAACATTTTTCTCATTTTTTTTTGAAATTTTAATACATGACAACTAAATCTGAAATATAAAATATATTAATATAAAAAAAAAAAAAAAAAAAATTTCTTTTATTAAACTCATCAAAACTTCAATTTATTTATTTATTTATTGTTTTGTAATAAAAATAAAAAGAGAGAGCCACAGCAAAAATTTTCCTTTTCTTTTTTTATTACATTAAAAAAAAATTTTTCCGACTTTTCCAAATTAGTTATTTATTTTTTTAATGACTATAATTTTTATTTTATTATTAAAAAAAAAAAAAATACAAACTTTTTTTGTTATACACAAATAATCATACATATACTAAAAAAAAAAAAAAAAAAACATTTAAAAAAACAACAAAAACAAATCATTATTGTTATTCCTTATTTTTTTGATCTCGAATAATTAATAATAATAATAATAATAATTAATGTGAATTTTAAGCATGAAAAAACATTTTGTTAATCTTTGGTTTTTTTTTTCTTTTTTTTATTATTAAATTTATTACACAAAATTAATGATGCATTTTTTTTATTATTATTTATATTATGACGCTATTATTTATTTATTTATTAATGATATGTAAACCTCCTAATAAAATACATAAATTAAT